AGCACATGTTAAATGAAAATAACTTTGGTGGAAGTTCTAGAAATGCACATATACATCAACACAGCACATGTTAAATGAAAATAACTTTGGTGGAAGTTCTAGAAATGCACATATACATCATCACAGCACATGTTAAATGAAAATAACTTTGGTGGAAGTTCTAGCATGTGCTGTGATGATGTATATGTGCATTTTTAAATGAGAAGAACTTTGGTGGAAGTTCTAGAAATGCACATATACATCATCACAGCACATGTGAAATGAAAATAACTTTGGTGGAAGTTCTAGAAATGCACATATACATCATCACAGCACATGTTAAATGAGAAGAACTTTAGTGGAAGTTCTAGAAATGCACATATACATCATCACAGCACATGTACACTACTTTTTACTAGTTTCCTGTTCAACAAATATTTACCATCTGTTAAGTAAACTACTTTTAGGGCACATGGCTAACAAAACTGACTTCATTATGTGTAAATAGTTTTACAACATAAAGTATAACTGCTGACCTACTGACCAGGGTTTGACTACTTTTATTCTTAAAACTGGTTCCATGAGAACCACCCACACATTCAGTCTAATATTTAACCAGCATGACGTAGATAGAAATAATGTATTAATAATGAGTTAGGATGACGAGAAATAGCAGATATGATAAATGAGACCAGTGTTATGAGAAAAAATAATGTAAAAGTATTATTGCAAGTGTGTAACATAGAGAGAATGCAGTGTTACAATATGTTGACTAAGGAGATTATTTCACTTACATGTATATAAGCAGAGATAAATATATTCCTAGGTTGAAATTTCTGTGTTTGTACACACACATATATATGTATGTTTACTGTGACCTGAAAATTTATAAAAATTAAGATAACTGTGCATGCATTTTAATATTAAAAAACATATGCAGCCACACATAACATTATTTATGCAAATAATACTAATAACCAAATACTTTAATTAATTGAGAATCAGTATATATATATATTAAAAAGTAAGTTAACTGTTTTGTTTAGTTTTTATACTAAAAATGATTAGATGAAAGAGTAATAACCAAATTAAACCTTAACAATATCTGAACATCAAATTATCCAAAAAATTCACTTTTATGACATTTAATATTTTATGAAGCACAAGAAGTTCAAGTTACATTAAGCCATATTCCCTTTGAATTTTAAGGGTACAAAATAACAAACTTAGTCATTTAGCACTGGGAATAGTTATCTGTAAATGTATTCTTTTTTTTTTCTCAGAACCTGCCAGGCATAAAATTCTATCTGACTCATCCTTTTTCTTGTGTGCAGAATGATAACATTCATGTTAATAAAGATGACTTCAACACCAACAGTCATCACATACTAGGTTAGAGAATACCAGTCACAAAATTTGAGCTGAAGCAGTAAACGAACTGTGTGCAGGAGATTCCTCATTGATTAAACCGAAGACCTGATAAACAAAATCAATCACACAAAAACATGTATATCATTGGCCAAGTTACATAAAAGGGGTCTCAGAAGTTTCAAACTATGAAAATATCCATTTTGTAGGGTAATAATATGTATCTGTTCATTTCAGAATTCAAACCTTGTACTTTACTGATTTTCAGAGTAATGAGAAGCTACAGGTATTTATATCTTTATTTTCGTGAGTTACTTCAAAAGTCCAGAGTTTATGATCAAACATGCCACATTATAAAATAAACAAAAATATAACTTTAATTTTTAAAAATGCCAGTGTAAGTTTACTCAAATATTTTCAGTAATTATTAAATATAATGTGAATGAAGTCTAGAAAGAAACTACAACTACAAAATTGTCTAAAAGTAGTTAATAAAACAAACAAACTACTTTTATGAAATTAGAACTGTGTGTGTTGTTAAGGGGAATTAGAACTATGACCAGCAACCAAAACTATTGTATAAAACATCAAATTATAATGTTACATTCTATGGATCACATTTTTAGAGTACTGTTGTAATGGTTTCTAGTGTTAGCTGGGTTCTTTTGGATTATTTTGTAAAAGAAGATAATTGAAAGTCCATTCCATTTATCAATAAAAAAAGTTATTTTTTGAAGTTCCAATAAACTTCAGGTGTCAGGGTTCAGTAAAAGAGCTAACTTGGCCAATAAACTGCATCTGACAGAAATTACACTTCTAATTTCTCTGTCAAAATACAAACTCAATAATCAGAACACTGAACTGACTGATTAACCAGCTGACAGTAAAAAACAAAGTGTTAAGTCATGCACTGTTTGCTTATAAACCAAAAGACTAAATGATCCAATCTAGTCTAAGTCACTTTTATATATATAGCTCAGATTGTTTCCTAAACTTTTAACATTGTTATCATTAAGGTCATACTCATCATGTTACAAACTTCTTTACCACTAAACAACAATAAAATTTTTACAAACTTCTGGAAAAGAAACCATAAGCTACAACAGTAAGTACGTACTATATTTAACTATGCATGCATGCTTACTTTAACTTATGCAGTCAAAATCATGATATTTCTATATTTAACATAAATTTAGAATTTTTTTAGTGTAATTGTTTTTATTTTCACAATAAGTACCTAGTTCTTTATGGGCAAGTCTATGTTTAGTAAGAACGTATGACATAACATATAATAGGTACACCTATGTATTAATACACATGTTCTGGGACACCATGACTGTTCCACTGCTCAGAATGAATATTCAATGAGTTGTTTTAATGAAATAATTGTAAGAACTAAAGTTTTCAAAAGATTGTAATCAAAGAAAATAAATATTTTTTTCTAATTAATTTTCAGTTTAATTATTTTTGACTTCTTAATAATTACTGCTTCTTTAAGTGAGCATATCTTAACCAGTAATAAGGTCAAGTACAAATGTTCCTTCATTTAGAATGGATTTTCAGAGAGATATTCTTAAGGAAATAATTTTGATAACCTTTTCACTTAATTGTGTCACATTCACTTTTTCTCTGTTTTGATTAAATTTAATATACTGTCACTTTTCATAGTTATGGCTTTAAAACTAATCATTACTACAGCCAAGACTAACTTTACAAATTATCTAATCTGACACTTCTTGTTATAAATCACACATAAATCATAATAAGGTTTTCAGGTCTACATGTAGAAATGAATTGTCATTTACTAGAACCTTGAATTTATGATTACACTTGTTGAAAGTTTAAACTGTCAGAATCCCTTTCAGCAACAAGTATCTGTATAATGTTGCAAAATAGTGAGTTAGTATGGATACAGTCATGATGAGTTTGTCTAATGTACTTATCAACCATAACTTTCACTGACTGTCACCTAATAATTGTAGTGTCCTGCCTCAACAAGCATAAGCTGTCCATTGTTTATCAACTACATCATCAAACAACATATTTGGTATAAATTTGTAGGCAATTTATTTGTCTTGGACAAGCATGCATTTTAAGGAACATGACTAGAAAAATAAAGAATTTAATTTATTTGCCTCCCATTGCTTCAAAAGTAAAATAAAAACTTTGCAAGTACAGGTACACTGTGTCATCTAAGTACCCTAAATTTTTGGCCATTATAAGGTGTCAGGTTTCAATAAGGAAAACAAAAAAAAATTTAAGTCCAGGACACTTAAGCTTATAGTTATCACTAAATTAAATACTAAAGACACAATGCAAATTATACTTACAGTTCTTCACGTTGTCGCTGAGATAACACCATTTTCATATTTGGCCTTCAAAGAGGATATCAACACAGAAGAATAAATAAAACAAATGTTCAATTATAGGAAAAAATGCTAAAAACAGATGTTTTGTTCTTAGGCTTGGTCGTGTAACTTCTAAACCGAGTTCAAACTTGTAGGTCCATGGTCATCACCTGTAAATTAATAAGTACATCAATAGCAATGTTATTTTTATTGCAATTCATCAGTACATACAGGTTCATTTGTGCAACTATCGATTTTGTTTCATTAGTTTTATCAGGATGGTAATCAGCATAATTTTTAAGTATTGTCAGTTACATTTATATCTGATGATTAATATACTGACAGTTACTAAATGTGACAAAAGATAAAAATATCAAAGTAGAATTGCCGAGTTTGTTACAATGTCACATGCAATATTCCATTTAAAATCTTCACTGTACAAGTATCAAGTAATAAATTCTGAGCCATGGCCTTAGCAGCATGTTGATCATCATGTCATTAACAGACTAGACCAACAGAAGGCATATATATTCTTTGTTTGGTTTTGATCTAAAGTCCTTTAGCATATGTCAAAACCAAACAAACTCCTTACATTCCACCAATATACGAGTCATTCTCATTTATTTACTTCATTTTTCCAGTAGCACTGATAACCTGTAAAGTCAGTGATACTAGTCTGATGAAGTGGGAATAGCAAATAAAAGAATAGAATTGACCTCTATTTCTTCAGTAAAAGTCAGGTTTTGGTGATGAATATACATTTATAAATCAATGTTTTTTCTAAACATTACAACTGGACACTGGTAAATGTTCCATGGTTTTCAGTTACTACATTTATTCTTCTAGAATAGCACACATATTTTCAAAGTTTCTGTAACTCAAATGCATGATTTACTGAGAACATAAATATTCTTGACTACTTTCATGAACTAAGCATATGGATATGAATCTGAAATTTACTTTCATATTACAAATACTAACAAACTCAAATTAAATACTGTATGATCATTAAAATTTCAAAGTTAAATACAGCATAAATCCCAATGATTAATATTTGCATAAAATCTTCTAATCCTTAGCGTACATGTGTTATTATGCTTAATTATGTTTAGTTCTACTTACATTATTAATCTTTAAAACAATTAATGTAAATTTTGAAATGACATTTTTTCTGTTTCTGATTAAACTATTTAAGGTCTTGCTGAAGAATTAAGTATTGATTTTTTCAAATACATGTATCTGGTTAATTGATAGTATTTGTTTGAAGATCATCCAGTAGAAGGCCTAATATTATTTAACTTAAAAAATTACATAATGAAATAAAAATTGCCTATCAGAAGATTCCTGTTTTACCTTTAGTTTAGGCTTCTGTGTTTTTGTATTTAAGGTTGATGTTCAAATGTATCTTTCATTATACACTTTTGTATGTGCATAATTAATAGCCAGTGAATATAAATAAACTGACTTACAGAAATTGTCAAAATATGGCTTAACAAATCTTAAACAGACTTTGTGATTGATAAAAAACAACTGAACTACCTTTTCAAATCTCATAAGATTAATAACATAACTAACACAATTTCACTTTAGGGACATTAAGAAACCTATTGATCCATCTAGGCCATCCCATGCACCACTCGTTAAAATAAAAATAAAACATCCAAAGTCAAACTCAAAGACAGCCCTTGTCATTCAACTATTAATCAACACTTCCCTTAAATTTACTGGATCCACCACAAGACAGCAACACATTCCAAAGGCCAACCACTTTGTTAGAAAAATAAAACTGTGTTAGCTGAAGATGACTCCTACCTACCCTGCCAAAATTTTTATTTGTGTCCCTAGTGCTACAATTATCACCATTAACTAGATTAAGTACAAAAAAATTGATACATCAACCCTATCTTGAACATCTTAGTTTAACCTCTCTGATTCTTCTTTTGTCAAGAGAAAATATACTCCTCAGAGGATATGCATCTAGAATGTAAAACTTAAAAGTTTTAGAACAGTATATTTTCCTCTTGACAAAATAAGAATTAGAGGGAATGTGGTGTTTAAGATAGGGTTGCAAGTTTTATGTAAATTATCAAATTTAAAAATTTATGTTTGGAGACTGAGTGAGTACCAAAATTCGTAAACTTAAAATATATAAAACACTGTAAGTTGTAATGTGAATTATGGTAACTACTAAATTAGTATTAGTAACATAAACCGTAAGTTTTAACTTCAACTTTTAAGTTTCAGATGGGAAAAGGGTGATAAAAAGCCAAGAATATGTAAATTTAACTCACGAGCTTACTCAGCCACCTCCTCTGTCTTTCTAAATTAATAAAGTAACTAGCTATACTTTAAAACTTTAAATCTATGAAGTACGTTCAGTACGTTAACTTTTAACAACTGGAGTTAGAAGCTCACGATCATGAACTATTAATATCAAGTATTAGTATAACAAGTCTCAAGTAACGATGCATCATAAGACAACGTCAAAATATTTTAGTATACTACCCAAAAATATTTAAAATGCTAAGCTAACAAAAATTTACAAGATATACACTAGTAATACTATTAATAGTTAATACTTTAAAATTCAACTTAAAAATTGTAATTATGAAATGTCTTAACACTTAACTTAGTCTTAAGTGGTTTTAATTAGCATACAACATATTGCAAGCCTATCAAATAATTATTTTGGAGAAAAGTGTACGCGGAAATTTCTACTCGCGGTGTATGAACACACCATATGATATAGTATTAATAACAAAACATTTCCAAAACTGAAATTTTTTTCATTGGAATGATTTAACTCTAGCAGTAACTTACTGATTCAACTTGAATTTGAAATAGTCTGGAGTACCTAGTTGTAAGTACTCTCACTAAAATTACCGTTCTCCGTAAATACGTGAATACAGCGAGTATTAGTACATTAGAGCATGGTTAATAGACTGAACGGGAGTTACGTACATCCTAACCCGAATACTTCATTCGTTTTATTCCGCCTATCTCCGATCGCTAAATTAACCTTAAAAATCGATTGTCGTGTGACAGAGGGCGCTAATTTATTCGAGTCTATTGCCGAGGTTTGCCTAGTGCACCCGTTGGCTCTCAGATAGCGATACTTTCAGACAATACAATAAAAAAATTAATTTCCATACATATACCTTTCCAAAACATAGCGAAAAAATCAAAATCTGAACGCGTGGCAAGGTTTGACTGCAAAATGAAAACAAACAAATATATAACCTTAATATTAACCATTGATAATAATATTTTTGGTGATTCAATTAAATATTAGATTTGTAATAGAAGTATGTGTAAATCGTACGTCAACTAAAGCTTAAATTTCAAGTCCGTATCTACTACTGATAAAATGATTATTTTATGTATTGTTACGACATCAAGGTCACGTGACTAGTATCACGCCACGTCGTTCTCGAACATTCACGTCCTTTCCTTAAATCTATCCTTCTAGATAAAGTGTAGTCTTGTATATATAAGACCGGCCACGAAGCGACGGGGAGGATGGGTAATTGAATGTATGCTGACAGAGAGAATACTGTTGGGCACGTGAGACGTTCATTGAGAATTATAGCGTTTGTTATAGAGCGACTGTTGAAATTAAGTGTATCGTAAAGTTGTATTCGGAAATAATAAACCAGTTTTATTTAATAAAGGTCTTGTGTCGCTAAAGTTTCGTCGGAACGAATTTACGGAAAATTAATTGACAAACGGAGACGTAACAAATTGGTGTCAGAGAGTGGGACAGAAAATAAAAAAAGAAGAAGATGGAAACGAGAGCCGGCAAATCAAACTATAGCTTAGCAGATTTGATGGCAGCAATACAAGAACAGCAAAAGAAACAAGAAGAACGAAAAGAGAAATTACAGCAGTTGTTGGAGGAAAAAGAAAAGAAACAAGAAGAGAGACAACAGCAGTTGCAAGAAAACCTGAAATAGTGGCAGCTGGAACAACAAAATAAACAAGAAAGATTACAGCAGTTGTTGGAGGAAAAAGAAAAGAAACAAGAAGAGCAAGAAAACAAACAAGAAGAGCAAGAAAACAAACAAGAAGAGAAATTACAGCAGTTGCAAGAAAACCTGCAACAGTGGCAGCTCGAACAACAAAATAAACAAGAAGAGAAATTACAGCAGTTGTTAGAAAACCTGCAACAGTGGCAG